AGTCATAAAGATAAGGTGAGTGATGGTAAAGTAAGGCAGAATAAGTTAATGAATAAACATAAAATTATAAAACAGGAAAATAATAATTCAAACCCCTCAGATGACTCTACACTTATGCCTAACATAAGCAACAGAGCATCCCAACAGGAGTGTTTGAAGAACGAGTTCCTGTAAGGTTAATTAAAATAACTGAAATACCTGCGAGAAGTAAATTCATAATTGAAGCTAAAGTAAATGACTTTAGGTTTAATGAAGAAGTGCTAGTAGAACCTATAGAAATAGAAGAAGCAGAAGTTTACATAGCTGCTAGTGTTGGTAAAGTGTCCAAGAGAGACACAGTACCCATAAAAGTGTTCTGCTAGCCTTAACTACTACTATGTTCTTAGGTAGTATTACTTTTTCTTTATTTATATTTTAGAGAACAGTTAGCTGTGATAGGACAACATAACTTTAATAATGTTAATAAGCAAACGCAACAAAGTAAGATAGACTGGGATTCTATCTTAGGAAGAATAGAACAAAACCATAAGCAGAGTTTGATAAATTTGTTAGAAGAATATCGAGATATATTTGTAGGAGAAAATGATCCTAACGGTTGTACAAACAAAGTAAAACATAAGATAGTGTTAAACAATAATAAACCTATAGCACAGAGACCTTATAGAGTACCCGAAAAACATAGGGTTGAATTAAAAGAATGTGTAAAAGAGATGCTTGAACAAGGTGTAATAGAGGACAGTAGTAGTCTGTATGCATCTCCGGTTGTATTAGTTCCTAAAAAGGACAGAAAATTAAGGTTCTGTGTAGATTTTCGTAAAGTAAATGGAGTAACAGTCAAAGACGTTTACCCGTTACCTAATATCCAAGAAACCTTAGATAGGTTAGGTAAAAGTAAATACTTTTCATCCATGGATTTACAAAGTGGATATTGGCAAGTAGAAATAGAAGAAGAAGATAAAGATAAAACCGCCTTCGTATTACCTTCAGGTAAATACCAGTTTAATAGAATGCCTTTCGGCTTATGCAATGCCTCTTCAACATTCCAGAGATTAATGGATGTTGTATTATCAGGCTGGCAAGATTCCGAATGTTTCTGCTATTTAGAGGATGTTATAGTGTTCGCTGCAAGTTTTGAAGAACACTTAGAAAGGTTAAGACATGTATTCGATAGATTAAGGAAAGTAAACTTAAAGCTTAAACCAAGTAAATGTCAGTTTTTGAAAAATGAAGTAGAATACTTGCGTCATATAGTAACCGCCGACGGTGTAAAACCAGACCCTAAAAAGTTAGAAGTCTGTAGAAATTATCCAGTACCTAAATCCGTAAAAGATATTCGTGCATTTTTGGGATTTGTAGGATTCTATAGAAGATTTATACCACATTTTGCTTTATTAGCAAAACCTCTAACTGAGTTAACTAAGAAAGAACCAAAATTTCAGTGGACAGATAAAAGACAGGAAGCATTCGAAAAACTGAGAGAAGCTTTACTAA